GGATTATCGAGAACCTAGAAAAGTTTCTCAGGATCCTGCAAAGGTTTCTCGTGATCCTGCAAAGGTTTCTCATGATCCTGCAAAAGTTTCTCATGATCCTGCAAAGGATTATCGAGAACCTAGAAAAGTTTCTCAGGATCCTGCAAAGGTTTCTCGTGATCCTGCAAAGATTTATTGAGAACCTAGAAATATTTCTCACGATCTTGCAAATGTTTCTCAGTAATCCTGCAAAAGTTTCACAGGATCTTGCAAGTGTCCCCTTACTGGCTCCATACTGTATAAATGTGCATCTAAATAATTTGTTTAAACTGTTTATTTTTGTTCTTTTCTTCTATGTTTTAATGTTTTCTATATCTAACTAGTGTCAAACTAAAAACCTTAACCAATCAGCCATATAGTATAAAAATCCAAGCCGACTCAACCACTCTGAGTTTGTAAGAATATTTTTGAGAGGAGTAAATTAATTTTCAGCTCAGATTTTCGGTCCCAACCTGCTGAACCAAAAGTTGTGTTACATTTACCTTCCTGATGTCCTCCAGAGACTCTCCGTTCATCACGCTGTTGACTTTGGGAGCGGAGGATTCTGGTCCGGCGCCGGTGGCGGCGGCTGCTGCGGCGTTGGCCTGAGCGGAGTTCTGTCGCTCCTGTTGGTACTTGAGCATCTCGGGGTTCTCGATGATGGTGGTGGACAGCTGAGCCTCGGTGTTGGTTATGGCCAGACTTTTACCGTAGATGTTCTGATGGATGCTGTTCTGTACGACACAGGAAGAGAGAGAAGCTGTTTCCATTTGGGCTCAAAGGATGATGGAAAAATAAAGCAACAAGCAAAACAATAAACGCAGAAAAATGAAAAATAGACAATAATGAATAAAAACAAAAAAATGATAAAAACATAATTTAGTTTTTATGGATTTAACCTAAACAACGTTATATAAAAGATGAGCTAAAATTACTTCATAAAAACCACCGAAGAGACTGAAGACGATTATTTCAAGTTATTGCTAAAAGCTGCTGAATTAAGGGCTGGGTTTAGTTTTTCTCTTTGAGTCTGTGTTTTGGTTTAGTTTAAGCTTTTCTGTATCCTGAGATTTTAATCTTTACAGTTACTACATTTAAATCTGTTCAGACTTCAACATTATGGATTAAATAATCTGTGATAACGTGTGTTTCACCTTCTCTTCCTCGCTCAGCGGGTCTCCCAGTTCGTCTAAAGAAAAGTCTAGATAGGCCACAGTGCCGTCCATCGAACACACCAACATCCCCAGCCCTGTCAGAGTCCTAACACACACACACACACACACACACACACACACACACACAC